TTGGCAGGTATTTCTCTTTCTGTATTCATTTAACGGTTAATTAATATGCTTTCAGTGATTCTTTTAGCAATCTGATTGAGATTTTTTTTTGTTAAAGCTGTCACTTTTCCCTTCTGTACCTAGTGGTTTAATTGAATGAGTTGATATGCTTGTAAAATTGCTGTGATACATGTATTTGATAGCTTCATAATAAAGACTGCAAGGTCTAAACGTGCCACTTTGGGCTTCAATAAAATTGCCATTTCTGGATCATTCAGTTCATTCATTTGGAAACACTCCCCACATAGTGCAAACCTGGTCCTGTGGAGGCGATACATTGACGACTTTATTTGGGGGGGGGGGTGACATCTTCTCTGGAAGTTTTAAAAAATCTCAGTTTTAATCCCTATAATCTTAGATTCACATTCACTCAATCACAGACCTCCGTGGAATTTTTAGATCTAGAGATATATATTAAAGAAGGTAAGATACACACAAAAACTTTTAGAAAACCTGTTGATTGTAACAGCTTCATCCCTTCAGATAGCCACCATAAGAGAACGTGGCTTGAAAATATTCCCTATGGACAATTTAGGCGTATTAGAAGAAATTGTACAGAATTGGACGTCTGTCTAGAACAGATGGAGAAGATGAAGGGACAATTGCTTAGGAAAGGCTATGAAATAAATGTTGACGGATGCAATGGATAGAGCTTTAAAAATATCAAGAGAAGAAATTTTAGAAAGTAGACCAAAACCATTACAATCTGAGATGGTAACTCCAGCATTCATTACCCAGTTCAGTAACCAAGCAGGAAAGATTAAAAATATCCTCAATAAGCATTGGAAAGTCTTAAAAGAAGACGACACATTGGGTACCATTTTGGAGGAGAAACCTAGAGTCATTTATTCACGAGCACCTAGTCTTAAAACCCTATTGGCACCAACAATTAAAGAAATTAACACATCAAGTGAAGGTTTGAAAAATATAGGTTTTCACAAGTGCAACAAGTGCCTTGGTTGTAATAACAACCACCCAGCCCAACCAACCCTAATCAAGAAATTTAGGAATATGGAAGGGTGAAAAATATTTTTATGAACTTTAAATGTATTCAACGTGTTGTAGGAATGTAGAAATATTGTACGTTATTATTCTAAGCATATCCAGACATCCAAGGGCCTACCCAGATACATTACAAACATAATGTAATTTATACACACATGGTTTTAAGTCAAGAATGATGGATGGAGACTTGTGGATCCTGCCTATAACCACCTTTGACCTAGCCTTGTAAGCCTGAATTCCTGTGAAGGTTCACATTTCTATAGGTAATCATTCATTCCATCATGTAATTAGAAGTCTCAAGAAGGTCTTTGTGTGTAACTTACCAAAACATCATAACGTATGGCTTTAATCATAGATATCGAATAATACTAAGTTACCACCTATTTTTTCTTAGATAACCAATTATTGTAAAGCAGGCAAACCTTATGTCATTATGTATACGCCCTATGTAATTGAAAAACTTATAAAAATCCTTTGCAGCTAGAATATTTTCACCAATACCTTTTAACATCAAGCTTGGATAAGATCTAGAAGTGAATATACATTGTCTATTGGTCCATATGATTTTAAAACAGACTTTTGTTGTTACCGGATGATGTGTATATTGTAATATATGGTTTTAACTGCAAGATACTGATTCGATTTGTTCAGAAAACTGGAAAACAAATCTTACGGAATGCAAATTTCCTACATTTAATGGTGGAGAATGCGGGCAACTTAGATTTAAGTCAAAAGGGCATTTTGGATTTAAGTCAGAAGGCAACTCTGAGTTATTACTGACTTAATATAAGTGTTCTGCTACAAACTACAAAAAGACAAGATAAGAAAATCGCTGAAGAAAAGTTGAAAGTGTTCTCTGAAGAAAAGCTTTAGTACCAGGCTTGAAACAGGAGAAACACAAGAGACTGACACAGCAGGATTGCATCCCAAAGATTCTTTGTTTAAACATCCCAGATCTGATGCGAAGACTGAGGTGAAGCAGGGTGAGAAAGTCGTTCGAACGCGGCAGATTTTTATGTTCAGTACTGAAGCAAGAATTTGAAGATAAATAATTGAGATGGACAATCCGTGTCCTTTTTATCCACACTTTATCAAGTAATTTGTGATGACTTGCAGATCGAAGATTGCATTTCGGAGGATTCTCAATAATAACTACATATTCCAGAAAGTATTCTTCTATCAGAAAGTGGCCATATCTGTGGAACCAAAATACTTAATGGGTATGTGTCTTGTTTTAAATCATATGCAAAATATATATATATTTATATTGTTTTGTTAAACAAAGTGTTTTAACTGTTTAAGTTAATTATGGAGTGGCTGCAAAGGATTGCTGCCAGATCTAATAGAGATCTTTCTGTACTTTCAATTTTCTACTCTTGATTCATTTAAAATGGAGAAAAATGATATGAATTTGTCTCTAGAATAGCAGGGTTGCCAAATGAGAAAATTAAGAGCTTTTGATTCACCCATAGTTGATTTTGCTGCTACAGAAATAATGAAATCTTTGCAATTGTTGCAAAAGAAAAACACAGAAACAGCTAACATTTTTGCTTTCACAGACACTTTTCTCTAGGGATACTTCAGCAGGTCTGGCCCATATTAACTGTGTCTCGTGAAGGTAGAGGAAGATATGAAAATAATAGAAATGGTAACTTTAGAGGGAGGTATATGAGTAAACCACAAAATTACCAGGGTACTAGAAATTATTCGGCCCCATCCCAAGATAGATATTATAGGGTTAGTCAGAATAGTCCTATGATATGCTATAAATGCAACCAAGAAGGTCATGTTAGGGGATATTGTCCCAAAAATGAAGAACAATCTTACACAGCGAAAGGGAAAGAAAATGGCATTGTGCCAGGCTATAAGAATCTACAGAGAGTGGCAGCTGTAGAAACTGAATACATCTTCAAACCCCCCTCAAATATCAAATCCATATGAACAGTGTAGACGGATGTTAAATGCCATTGAAATGAAGGTGGAAGCAGTCACAAGTCAATTCTACTTACCACACTAATAAATAGGGATGTGTAACTCCTAGTTGTTCTCTGGTCTATCTCACTGATATTACTCTGGGTGAAGATGGACGGCCATATATTTATGGAACACTAGAGGGGAATATAACAGTTTTTATTAGACACGGGAGCTGCAGTGTCTCTAACCAACAAAAGCTTGCCTTTAAAAATTGACGCACCGACAATTTCCCTTCTAAGTTTTAATGGAGCACATGCCCATGCAACTCTATCCACTGATAACGACATTGAATTTGAAGGAGGTAAAATCAATTGTGACTTATGGGTCGACCTCTCCTCCCACTGTACTATTTTGGGGATGGATGTTATCAATGGAAAAAAATTGTATGTGGATTTATTCAATTTGATTTTGTGGCAAGCTCCAGGTGAGAGCAAATCAGGTGGAGTGGTTAGACCTAATGATTTAGGATGGTATAGTCATGTCATGGCTGTAAAACAGGGTGAAGTGTCACCTTCTATACAACAAGATGATGATTTTGTAACTTATCTTAAAGACAGACAAATACCCCACAGTGTGGTCCAAGTCTAAACAAGATTGTGGGAGAATGAATTTACAAGTTATTCAAAGTCCAGACCCCCCTGCAGTTAAAAAATATAAAATTCCAAAATAATCAGAAGAAGGTGTGAGTCAGGAGATAGAGGCATTGGTATCTCAAGGAGTGCTGAGAGTGGGTAATTCCAAATGTAATTCCCCTATTTGGCCAATAATCAAGCCCGATTGCTCTTATCGTTTAATTGTCGGCATGCATGTGGTGAATAAGTATACCCCACCAGCAGCCCATATAGTGGCCTCCTCACCAGATATCATGGCACAAGTAGACGGCAATGCTAAGTATTTCTGTCCTGGATATAGCCAATGGGTTATTCTCAATACCAGTACATCCAGATAGTATCGTTTTGCTTTTACCTTTAAAAATTATCGTTTTGCTTTTACCTTTAAAAATCATCAATATCTGTTACAGGTGCTGCCACAGGGCTTCCATTCCTCGCCAGCTTATTTTCATAAAGCACTGGCTCAAGTATTGGAACCCCTGGGGTATGGGAGCAAGATTTTGCAATATGTTGATGATCTGTTGGTTCAAACAGTAACAAGGGAAGAGCATGAGCAGATACTGTGTGATATTTGTCAAGCACTGGCAGATAATGGGTTAAAACTGAACACATTCAAAGTGCAGATCTTGAAAGAAAGTGTGGCTTTCCTAGGAGTAAATATAGATCCAGCAGGTAAAACACCATGAACAGCAAGGGTTAAAGCGTTACAGCAATTGCCAAGGCCAATGACAGTGTCTGACCTAAGGAAATTTTTAGGTTTGGTAAATTTTAGCAGAGAATTCATCAATGATATGGCAGGAATAGCAAAACCCCTGTACAATATGCTAAAAGATAATGCTAATACAGATAAGCTACTCTGGACAGAGAAAGCTGAAAAAAGTTGGAACCTGTTAAAAGATGCTCTTACACAAGCGCCTGTGCTACCTGCTCCCATTGAAACAGTATCATATATTGTTCAATGTTATGCAGGTGTCTTCATTAATTGCAGTTTTGATGCAAAGGCAACATGGCTCCTTACGAATACTGGGATATTTTTCTAAAATCATGTCTCCAGTGGAAAGGGGAATGTTTTCCTGTGTAAAACAGCTCATGGCTGTATGTTGGGCTTTAGAAGCAACACAACACATTGTAGGATTTGGACAGCTAATTTTACAAACCCCCCCACGCGCCTTTAAAACTGTTACAAAATTGTCCAGATTTAGGAGTACATAGCCAGAGGGTAGCTCATTGGATATTGAAGTTACAAGATAAACCACTCAAGGTAGAAAGCAGTAAAAAGATGTTATTCCTGAGTTGATAGAGATAAATGGAACACCACATGATTGTCAGAAGGAATTGGAAATTGAATCCAAATCTCCTTTTGAGAAAGAAGCAATACAAGGGGCTCCTTGTTTGTATGTGGATGGAACGAGATTTTATGCTGATGGATCACATCATACAGGTTATGCCATTTATGATGATAAAACAAAAGAAATGCAGAGATTTAAATTGCCAGGCCATATGTCTGCTCAGAGAGCTGATTTAGAGGCTGTAAGGAAAGCTCTTGAAATAACAGCATATGACCCAGTGAATATAATCAGTGACAGCAGCTATGTAGTTAAAGCTTTAACACTTCATCTCCCAATATAGAGAAAAAGGTGAATGGTAGATTCTCAGGACAAAGCTTTAAAACATGCAGGTATTTTGGCAGAACTGTTTAATTATGCAGAAAAAAAAAAAGCTTTAACTTGTGCTGTTGTGAAAGTTCAAGCACATCAAAACAGGAAAAGTGGGGATGAAATGGCAGAAGGAAACTGCTTTAATAGGAGAGTTGCAATACTCAGAAAATGTAATGATTGCAACTGTGAGTAAAAGACCAATATCAAATCCCCTACAGGATCTGAAAGAAAATCAGAGTAAAGATGTAGCTTTCAGTAGAGAAACAATGGATTTAGATACTGAAACTAGCTTGTACGGGGTTAAACATGAGGAAACAAACCTTTGTACCATTTGTACCTAGTGATTTATTGCAGGAGTTGATTGTATTCAATCATCGTACACTGGGGCATTTGGGTACAGAAAAACTGTTTAAGGTCCTGCAAAATAAATTTTATCACCCTAATTTGAAACAATGGTGTACAAATATAGTGCAGGAGTGTCTCATATGTGCTCAATTTAATCCCAGACCTAAAGGTCAAAAACCAAAATTGCAGAGAGTACCTTTGACAAAAGGACCATGGGACTCTATACAAATTGATTTTATTGGACCATTACCTATAGCTCCAGGAGGACTAAAGTACGGATTGGTAATTGTTTATATATTCTCCAAATGGGTGGATTGTATAGCTCTTACCAATTGTACAGCGTTAACATGTAAAGCGCTATGGAAATATGTATTTTCTGTATGGGGTTTTCCCAGAATCATTGAATCTGACAATGGTCTACACTTCATTGGAGAAGTACTTAAAGAAATGTGTAAATTGTTGGGAATCCAACAAAGATTTCATGTCCCATATCATCCACAGTCGGCTGGCATAGTGGAAAGAATGAATAGAACATTGAAATCTAGATTGAAAAAAATGCTTGAAGATAAGGGGAGTAAGTTGGGTAACACTTACCAGTAGTTTTAATGTCTATTCGTGCAACTCCAAACTCCAAAACGCAAGTGTCACCTCATGAGTTAATGACAGGCAGAACCATGCCAATTACTTTCCCCAATGAACCTTTTGTTCCAAGTACTTTCAAAGTTGCTGCAGAACATGCTGAATGGTTAAAAGTATTACAAGAACAGCTGCAGTCAGTTTTGAAGTTTGCTGCTTTGAATATGGCCCCTTCTGGTAAACAATGGGTTAAAGATGTAACTCAGGGGAATTATGCAGATAAGTTTAAACCAGGATACAAAGTGATGGTAAAATCATTTAGAACACCAGGTCCCTGGCAGGCAGGTTGGGAAGGACCTTATGTTATTCTAAAGAAATTAGGACAAACTGTCTTACAGGTTCAAAGAGCAAAAGTTGGTAGGAAATGTAATAAAGCAATTCTTGTGCATATTGATCAATGTAAACTCACTAATGTATAAGAATAGTAAACTGCCATCTGTTTTTCATTACAGAATCAATAATGTTTGTTCATGGACAAAGACTGTTTAATTTTAAAAAGGACAAATTGTTTGGACTATCAAAAGACACTATGGACAAAAAGACTGCTCTCATGAATGCGATTGGAGAGGACATTACTTCATGGACTAAATCAAACCGATTGGGGTTTCTTGATAATGTAATCTTTATAAAATTGCACAGCATCATACTGTTTTTAATCATGATGATGTTAGGTACAATCAATGCCCAAGGTACAGGTACTCCAGATTGTGAAATTAGAGATACTTTTGCTAAATGTACAGCATTCCCCTATGAGTGTAAAGTGAGATATTGTAAGCCTCCTGATTATTGTGGATGCATTAATGCAGACACATCTGAGGATGCAATATCCGGTGCACTCATATTCCATGATAACCAAGAACCATGTATAACATATCTATCAGTTGACGGACGAATTGATTTAATCATTATTACCAAGGATCGGACATATATAATGCAAAATAATATTGAGAGTAGGTGTGTGGTACCTACTGGTATAGACAATACCATTACCCTTACTATGTTTAATGTGAGACGTATTAACGATTATGGGTTAAATTGCTACATGTACTTAATAGATACACTTGTTAATCCTTACACAAATGCTAAAGTAAAAGTACTCGAGCAAACAAGACAGCTCATTTACTTATCAAAACCCAGCTAAATGTGCAGGCCAAGTCACTATGTGGCCTTGGCATCCAAAATCTAGAAAACCTTCATGGTTATGGACACCTATTTTTGTTATGAGAAATATAATAAATAGGAATGGAAACACTGTTTCTCTTCCATATGCATTCACAATCATGACATTTCATCATAATTGGACTCCAGAACAAAGAATAACAGATGATTGTAATCTTGTAGAAGAGGAAGGAAAAGATCCCATTAGAATATACAAAGATGATCACAAAGTCTTATTTGGGGCTTCATTTAGTATATACACATATTCATGGAACATGTCAAAATGGGACATTACACGTACATTCCCACAGTGTCAGGAATATACAGTAGGAATACAACAAGATTTCTATTATTGGTTAAAACAAGACACTACTTTCTCAAGACCAGTGAATACACGAAGAAAATGTGAATGGTATAATGCAGTATTCGGCGGTTTAGGTGTAGGAGCAAGTATGCTAAATGGAGTAAATATAGAATCGTTAGCAGCTAGAATGAGTACACTAGCAGCTGCAGGTAGCAAATCACAGGATGCTTCATTGTTATTATCTAAGATACAAATGCAAATAGTTAATAACTACAGAACAGACATTTCCATTATTAAGAATCTCATTAATAAAAAGTATAATATCAGTGTAGGAATGGAAAAGATTGCAACTGATACCTCTTTAGCCTTAGGATGTAGAGCTTTACAAATGGACATCAATAAGAAGGTAAAAATATTCTTGCACGCTCTTTTTTAATCAATGGCCTTATGAAGTCCCTCTTGAAGAGCCTAAAATAAGTTTTTACTACAGAGCTTTTTGGCATACACAATGGTTAGGATGTCTGGAAGACAATAGAAAATTGTGCTTTTGCTATTTTTCTCCCTACTAGAGGAGTTAATTACAACAGATTTAAGTATATTGACTTGGGTAAAATAGTGAATTCTAAATGGATAAAAATGGATAAGCAAAATGATAAAATCCTAGTGGGAGTAAAAACCGTAGAGTACATGCTGAATACAGAAAATTGTTAAACGATGGTGATTATGTCTGCCCTTATGGTGTTAATGTTCTAAAAGAGGTATCATGGTGCTGGGAGAATAATGACACGTGTCAAATGAAATTAAATAAAATACCAATTCAACCAGCATGGACATCCAATAAAGGCATGGTATGTTGGCATCAAATAGAAGGAAAAACAGAAATACATGAGAAAAACTGTTCTGAGACAGTAAGCTTAGCCCCGGGAAGTTATTGCACAAAGAGACCTGCTTTGTCTGTAACCACCAAGGACATAAGGGGTAAATATGATATAATACCACCCATACTAAAAAGGACTGATTCTATTAGTATGATCAACGTACTTTATATAATGTAAGTGTAGGTTATGGAGCTGATTTCTATAAGCAGTTAAAGTACAATGAAGCGTTAATACAAGTAATTGATAAAGCAGCGACTGGAGTACATAACACTTTAGTACAAATACATACAGTGCAAGGTATGATTAAAAGCATTAAACATGATTATATCGAAGACACCACATACTGGTGGCAACGGTGGTTTGGGGGACAAAAGACAGGATTAGTTATGGGTATGACACTTCATAACTCATCTTTTGGTAATTTTGATGATTATGGTTTTATTTTTCTTTAGTTGGTATATGTCTAAAAGAATTAATCGTTTACGGTCTCAACTGATGGATGTGGAATAGAGATGTAAATTCCTAACCACAAAATTAAAGTTTTACAAGGAATTGGAATAAATTATGATGCATTATATTTACATAAAAAGCATCAAAGGGGAACTTGAAAAATATTATGAACTTTAAATTTATTAAACGTGTTGTAGGAATGTAGAAATATAAGTTATTATTCTAAGCATATCCAGACATCCAAGGGCCTACCCAGATACATTACAAACATAATGTAATTTATACACATACTGTAATTTACACATATGGTTTTAAGTCAAGTATGATGGATGGAGACTTGTGGATCCCGCCTATAATAACCTTTGACCTAGCCTTGTAAGCCTGAATTCCTGTGAAGGTTCACATTTCTATAGGCAATCATTCATTCCATCATGTAATTAGAAGTCTCAAGAAGGTCTTTGTGTGTAACTTACCAAAACATCATAACGTATGGCTTTAATCATAGATATCGAATAATACTAAGTTACCACCTATATTTTCTTAGATAACCAATTATTGTAAAGCAGGCAAACCTTATGTCATTATGTATACGCCCTATGTAATTGAATTTTAAACTTATAAAAATCCTTTGCAGCTAGAATATTTTCACCAATACCTTTTAACATCAAGCTTGGATAAGATCTAGAAGTGAATATACATTGTCTATTGGTCCATATGATTTTAAAACAGACTTTTGTTGTTACCGGATGATGTGTATATCGTAATAAATATACGGAAAACAGGAAAACATATTTCACGGAATGCAAATTTCCTACAAAGGGGACGAGGATTTTAAGATAAAAACCCATTTAAATTGCAACTCAATGAGAGTTATTTACCTTCTAATACGTCCCTGCAAATGACACTATGTAGGACGGACAAAAAGGAAATTGAAAACTAGGCTGGGGGGAACACATCCGGAACATCAAGAAGGGGCTAATTACCCACAACCTTTCCAGACATTTCTCCACCCATCATTTTAAGAATCCAATGGGCCTTGAATTTTTAGCCATTGGAAAGGTCGTCATTCACTGGAGAGAGGGGGGGGGTGGGGGAGATGTGGAGAAGGCTTTAGATAGAATGGAGGCCAGATGGATTAAGTTGAATAGCCTGGAACCTTCAGGCTTAAACATGGATTTTGAACTTAATGCTTTTCCTTTCTTTATTTTTTTCTCTCCCTCTCCATATGGATCATAATGCGGCTTCCCACTAGTATCTATAAACCTCGTCCTATTCTTTAGTTAATAGATAGCCGAACACTCAGTCTGTGAGTCAGTTTTGTACCAATAGGAATGACTGTCTTTTTCAATTAGTTTTGTGACAAGTTTGTCATTTTTGCCATGTATGACTATTTGTCAATTTTTGTGATTACGCTTGATTGTCTTTATTGTGCTTAATGACAGTTATATGTATGTTCTCTAAGATCCCTTTAATACCAGTCCTAAGTAACTGTAGGTTGAGGGTAGCTATACTAGTGGTATTAATTATTTTACTATTTTGTACTCGCCTTTTAAGACATAACGTAAGGGCCTTATGATTAAGCTTTGATATTTATATTATTCTATTTCTTATTCCATAGGCTTTGTAATTTTTTTTCCCCACAATTCTTATTCACTAAATAGACTTGGCAATCTACTATTTATGACATACAGGGTAGACTTTAATGGGAGGTTTTTAAAATCAGATATTGATATCCTCACTCCCTTTTAGAAAATGCTCTATTCCATTTCTTGTACCTGTTTAACATAATTTTGTAGGAATCGCCAGTATGGATGACGACCGAAAGTATGACTTAATGTACTAACAGATGTATTTATGTCATTCAGGAGATCCGCATCAATTTAAAAAGATTAGAATTTCAAGTAACTGAATTAGGGTTTATGTTTAGCTTTAATGCTTAATTATTAATAATTTATATGCTCCATTATTAATCAATTATCTGGCCGGTAAAGGAGTGATTTTGACCTCTCTGGACCCCGGTCTGTAAACCAGATATCTATTACTTGCACTTTTGGGACTATTGCCATCTTACAGTCTTTTATATACATGTGTGTTGAGTTGACAGTTTATTATACTTTTTTGTACTAATAAATATTCTTAACTGGTACACTGTCTGCTGCACTATAGAATTGACAATTTAACCCCTTGTGGGGCAGGAGCATTTTTATTCTATTTATTTTATTTCTATTTTATCTAATATGTATGGACCGTTACTAGATCATTGTCCCAGCAGTTTTTGGATCCTTCCTACCTATATATACACACTCTGTCTATTTAGCCTACTAGCAGAATTTCTCCGAGAGGATTGTGGTGTGCTGCACGTGTTGGATCTTTAGTGCAGCACACAGACTGGCGACCGCGCTGCTTATTTCTTATATTTTCATTTATCATACTTAATTTTTGCAGATCTCACCTTCATGATTTATTTATTTATTGGATCTCTGGGGGGTTGGAGCTAGGTGCCCTCGAAGGCACGGGTCACATATTTATAGAGGGTATCATTCAGACGTTTTTCTCTCTCATATCGTTAACAGCTTTCTATACACATTGTGTGCTATCAAACAGACATTTTGTAACTCTTTCTATTGTAACCCTATTTATATGTGTATCTCTCCCCTATCCTGTTCCTCCCAGGCATCTTTATGACTGCTTTACTGTCGGCTCCGTGTATACATGCTGTGGTTTATCTATATATACACTCTGTCTATTTAGCCTACTAGCAGAATTTCTCCGTGTAGATTATCGTTTTTCTACTCTAAGACCTGCTAGTTTATCAGTTTCATACTGATCCAATCTTTTTCCCAGTTTGCTGTGATCTATGGAGATTTGATATCCACCAATAATTTTTAGTTATTTAGAAGACCTATACAGTCCATGATCACGACTTTGATTTTTAAAGTGACAGACTTTATAATCGATTTACTTATCATCAGACA